CTGCACCGACGCTGCTACGGCTGCAAGGCGTGTTTGGGCGCAGCGAGGGCGTGAGGGTAGGAATGCGCTCCTCCAGCGATGCTGTTGCGGCCCCGCAGGGAGGAGTACGTTCCGCCACCACGCCCCTCGCTCTGCTCCGAACCGCCCCTCGGATCCATTCGGCCATTTTGGCCGTCACATGCCTCAGTCGAGCGCTCCCCCCATGGGGCCTGCAGCCCCTGAGGTTGGTGTTCTTGCTGGTGCTTGTTCTCCTTCAAGCACCCCTGCTGCTCTTGCCAACGTCGCGCCATTTGTCGCTGACTTGTCTGCCTTGCTGCGCCTGTTTCCAGGTGCGAACATTGATATCACCCACTGGGGGGCAGCGCTGTCCCAGGTTGGGATGGGTGCTCGATGTTCTCTTGGATCTTTCTCCCGCTCATCTATGCGTGCAATGGACCGGGGCGACCCGTACCTTTTGGGGCCGCCTCCCCGCGATCTTTGGCCGTGCCCGCCTGCTCCACCTCTTGGTCCCCCGCCTGACGGCTTGTCGGCGAGGCGCAGGGAGCGCTGGAGATTGCGGCGCGCGGCGCGGACGCTCGCGCAGTATTCTGTTATTGCGTTGAACTGGCTCACTTTGGGTCATCCTAGCCTCGCTCCCGCCGAGGCTCGCGTCCGTGCCACGGTCTCGCCCTGCCAGGAGGGCGTCCGCACCCGTATCGAACGGTTGTGTCGGATCGCAGTTCGCCTCGCCCGTGGTGGCAAGAGCGACTTAGGTCGAGCCTTCGCCAAGTTCGACTCTACTGAGGTCTCGCTCCATGGCCTGGCCACCCATGTTGCAGCTTTGGAGGCCTCCTTCACCTCCTCTTCTTCCGTGCCCGCCCCCATGCGGCACTGCCCGACCAGCGCTCCTTCCGTGCCTGGTTCGCTGGCGTCTGCGGCGGCTTGGGACTCCACCCAGGTCGAGCCCTTCGATTTAAAAGTCAGGGCGTCTCGCATTAAGTGGGATTATTCGCCAGTGTTTGATCCCATTCCATTTCTCTCTGACGCTCGAGTCCGCGAAGCGTTCATCAATCCAGAGGAGATGCGGCTCCCGGCGTCAGAGTGGCCTGCTGGCCAAAAGGGGGCGCGTGTCCATATGGACCGCGCCGAGCTGTGGGCCCTGCTCCAGAAGTGGGATGCCTGCGGCGCCCTGTACCTGACTCCTGCTTCGGACCTCGCCTGGGATGAAGCCTGCGGAGCTTTCAGGGTACCGAAGGACAGCGACTACGACAGGCTGATCCTGAACCCAACGGTCGTGAACAGCCGCTGTGCCTCAATCTCATCCAGCACCCAGCGCCTTGGCCAGGGTTTCCTGCTGTGCCGTTTGGGTCTGGCGCCTGGGGAGTGGCTGGCAGTTTCTTGCGACGACCTACGGGAGTTTTACTACACTTTCCGCGTTCCTCCCGCGCGCGCCAGGCGTAACGCCCTTCGCGTTCGTCTGCCATCATCCCGCTTCAAGGCCTTTCGAGCCTGGCGCCCCGAGCTCGAAGGTGTGGACGTCGCGCCTTGCCTCAATGCTCTAGCGATGGGCGACAACATGGCGGTGGAGATTGCCAACTCTGCACATGAAGGCGTCTTGCACAGCTTCGGGGCCTTGCGGCCTCACGAGCAGGTTGTCCACCGCTCGCCCTTCCCGCGGGGCCCGTTTGTCGAGATGCTGAATATTGATGACCATACAGGTTTTCAGAAGCTCTCGTGGCATGGCTCCGCTCCTCGCCCCGACGACCCCTGTCGTCGTGATCGTGAGGTCTTCGCCGCCTGCGATGCAGGCTACCCGCGCGTGGGCCTGATTCAGCATCCAGGCAAGCGCGCGCGCGGCGAAACGCACAAGGTGGTGGTGGGCGCCGAGGTGGAAGGGCGCATAGGCATCGTCTGCGCTCCCTTAGTGCGGACGGTGGCCTTGTGCAGGCTGACCCTGATCCAAATCTACCTCGGCATCACCACACGCTCCCTGTTAGCCTCTCTTGTGGGCTGCTGGGTCCAGGTGTTCCTCTATCGCCGTCCGATGCTCGCCATTTTCACGCACGTCTACAACTTCCTGTCGCGCCTGGCGACCGAGGAGGGCATTGAATACGACTTGCCTCCTTCTGTTCGCGACGAGCTTTTGGCCTGCACCTTTTTAGCCTTTACGGCTATAACCGACCTTCGGGCGCAGCCTTGCCCCGAGGTGTTCGGTACGGACGCGTCTCTCGGCTGGGGGGGCGTTGTCCGCGCTCCTATCAGCCCGCAGCTCTCCGCCGAGCTGTGGCGCAGATCGGAGCACGGGGGGTGGCACACGATCCTGCACAATCGGAGCCTCCTCGCCGTACTCAGCCGCGGCGTGCCCTTGGGCCCTGAGCTCACCCAACTGCATCGCGACCTGGGGCTCCCGTCTATTGAGCCCCCCGTCGCGCCGCGTTGGGTCACCGAGCTATCAGAGGCGCTGCGCTTTCGGCTCGCGTACAAATGGGAGTTTCGCATGCCCCGTCACATCAATATCCTTGAGACAACGGTGTATAAGAGCTTGTGCAAGTACTGCTGTATTCGCCTCCCTGACTCTCGTATCCCCGTTCTCTTGGATTCAAAAGTGCTTTGGGCGCGACCGCTCACGGGCGCAGTAGCTCTCCTGGTCTATCTCACGTTCTTTCGACCACTTTGCCCTATGTGATAGGAGGAGGTTTATATATGGGAGGCATGTACGTGCCTACGGACGTGCACAGGGCCGACGACCCCACGCGGAACCGTGCGGTGAGGCCCCCGTCCCGTGACCCTCCCGCCTGGTTAGTTGAAGCAGAGAGAGGAGAATTTACTCGCTTTGATTGCATTGCGTACGCCGACTCCCGTTCGTCATTCCCTACTTGTCTCTGGGGCCGATTTGTTGCGCAGCTTGTGGCTCGAGGCCCCGAGGGGCTGCTCAGCCACCGCTGGGCGGCCGCCCCCCCCCCCTCGGAGGGCGCGGGGATGACCGCCGACGCCGCCAGCGACGGCGCCCAGGGGGAGGCACCTGACCCCTCGGGCGCCGCCGAGAGCAGCATTGAAGCTGCTCTCGCCAGCGGAGAGCGTCGCGGGCCTCGCAACGCGCTCTTCGCTGACAGCGAACGGCCTCTCGCGTCCTCGGCAGACGCCACGCCAAAAGCGTCTGCCTCCGCGGAGGGCGGCTCGCCCGGCCCCGACCCTGGCGCCGCCAGCGCAGGATCGGCTCCCCAGGCCGCCAAGCGTGCTCCGCCACTGGCCCTCCGCTCCAAGGCCGCGGCGGCCCCTCCGCCTGCTATCGGGGTGGGCTCGTCGCGCGTCGGCTCGCGGGAAGCGCCAAAGGGGGCCTCTGCAGCTACCCCCCGCACCTTCCAGCGAGCGGCCAGGGTGAGCGCCTCTCGCCAACTGCTTGGCGTAGTGGACGGGGCCTCGCGCGGCACAATTGAGGCCGCCTTCAGGCGCCAGTCCCTAGTCTACCATCCAGACAGGACTCCCGCGCACCTGGGCGCCGACGAGCGAGCAGCCCGCGCGCTGAAGTGGAAGCAGCTCTGTGACGCCAAGTCAGTGTTGCTCCAGGCCGTCTCGCAGGCCGCCGCGCCGCCCGATGTTCCTAGCACGGGCGGCGACGGTCCTGCCGCCCGCGCCTACGCCCGGGCCAAGGCGGCAGGAAAGGGCGCCCGCAAGGGCAAGCTGGCTCCAGGGTCGACCATGGCCCTTCAGGCACTCGAAGAGGCGGTCTCCTCGCGGGTCGCCCTTGCGAGCGCCGAGCTGGCCCCTCGGGCTGCCCTCCCCGCCTCGGGCGCGCCTCTCCCGAGGGGCGGGGTTTCGTCTGCCCTCGCGACGCGGGCGGCTGAGTCGGATGCCACCCTCGTCTCCGCCGTGTCGCGCGGCCGCGTGGAGCTCGACGCACTCCGCACCGCGCGTGCCGACGCCACCAGGCGCACGGTGCAGGCTCCTGCACGCGGCGAAGGAGAGCGTGCCGTCGCTCGTGCCGAGCTCGCGGAAGGGATGGCCGATCGCGCCTACTTCCGACGCGTGCGCGAGGCCGCCAGTCGAGAGGCCGCGGGCTTGCCGCGCACTGCTCCCGTCCAGCTGGGTCGGGATTGGCGCAAGACCTTGCGCGCCGTCCTGCACAACGCTGAGGTCTCGACGGGCCTCGCCATCGCAGAACGTGCCGCTCGTGCTGGGGACGCACCCGCGTCGTCCACTGGCCGCTCCTTGGCCGAGGTGGAGGCTGAGGACCCGCGCGCCTTGGCAAGGCCCGCCGACGACCCTGCGTCCAGCTTCAGCCGTCGTGAGGGGCGCGCGGTCCGCGCCCGCCTGGGCCCGCGGGATGAAGCGGTCGAGGACCAGCCCAACCGCGGTGGTCACGCGCCGCACTCCGCCTCGCGCACGGGCGCCGCGCGCGCCAGGCGCGCCGCCAGGCAGCGGCGGGCTTCGATGGCGGCGCTCCCCGCCCCTGAGGGGGGGGCCGCCACGGCGCCTGGCCGCAGGGCGCGTCGCACTGCCAATGCGCGCCGCTGGGCAGGCGCGGCACGCCCCAGCTCCGCCGCGGGAGTGGGCTCCCCACCGCGGAGCCGCAGCCCTGCCCGCAGCCGTACGCGGTCTCCAAACCCGTACGGGACCGACCGCACCTCTCCCTCGGGGGGCTGCTCGTCGCCTCCCGTCGACGGCCCGATCTCGCCCGAGGAGCCGTCGGAGCCGCCTGCGGGGGAGGCATCGGAGGGCCCGCACACTCCTGACGGGTCCCCGCCCGCGAGCGTTCGCAGCCGCTCGAGAGCGGAGCCCGCGTGCGACGAGGACTCTCCGACGGAGCTCGAGGAC